GCTGCCGGCCAAATGTCCACTTTAATTCTATTATGGCTTTCGAAACGTAAATACACGCTCGAGAATTTTCAACAATATCACGCGAGCGCCGACCGGCCTGTAGATCAGCGCATCGTCACGGCGCGAAGTAGCGATATCAATGACAGTACGCGCGTGCGCAGAAGAAACGCGCCGAAGTCGGCGTCGGCTGCTAAGCTGTTTCCCCAAACACGACCCACCCCTGGCGCGACGCCCACCGCTTGCTCCACCCCATAAGCAGGGGACCTAGTAATCAAAGCGACACACACGGTACGCAAACACGAACAGCAGCCGGTAGGAAGGACACCGACACGAGCTTAGTCAGCGAACGAAAAGACAGACACAAACTTCACTCTAGGCAAACAGAGCAGGGGTAGTTACAAGGATGAGATGCGTGCGCAGACGGAGGTAAGCAGTGCACAATACGCCCCGCAAGTGGGCTCATTTTCGTCTTCTGCGCATGAGAAAGGAAGTAGTGGTGACGTCAGAACGCCGAGTCCTGATTGGCTGATCGCGACCCCCTATTGAGCGTCGTCTGCTCCTTTGCAACGTCGTCTGCTCGCAACATCGTCTGCGTCTGTCTTACCTTTCCTGCGACTTTCGGAAGTCGAGCTCGACTTCGCCTTTCAGAGAGGACAGACGAAATAACTCGAGCGGTACGTTGTTTTCGTCTAAAACAACTAGCAGACGCGCATCAAGGAGGGAAGTCAAAGGACTCACTGGCGAGGTGTCCCGGTGCGCCGAGGTTTGTTCGCTTAGTGTCCGCAAGTTCCCTCCCAAATACTTTTTACCTCCATTCGTGTGCGGCGAGACCCCTCACTCTTTAACGGCGCCGGCGGGTTGGCGCAGTTAACGTCGTCTGCTTTACGTCTGCTAGTCAAAGCGATGGCTGCTTTACCTTTCCTGCGTCTGTCGGAGATTCGCCGCTTTTTCACCGGCGAGAGTCACCGTTGCTTCGGGAAACAAGGAGATAACAAGAGGAAGAAATTGACCTCTTAATCTAAAATTGAGGTCAGCGATCAAAGTATAACACGGGAAGGGTTCACAAGGGTCGCGCGGGCATATTCCATTCAGCACGTCAGCCGGTCGTGGGCAGACGGTCGCCGAGTCGCGGAGTGGCTGCTAGGCCTAACTGCCCAGCTCGTTTGGTCGCGTTAGGTGGAATCGTCGCCGTTGGAGCTTTTCCCCGGTGTCTGTGGATCCAGCGTTCTTGTTCGTCGTGCTCTGTTTCAAGTAATTTTTACTTTTTTTTTTTGCTGCTTGAAGTCAGGACGCGTGAGAAGCTCACGTAGAAAAATAAACGTCCGTGGGTCGTCGCGACCGCGACGCTGTCGGTGATGCTGACTTGATCGTAAGAAGTGCGTAAGACAGCTTCGGAGCTGCCGTAGGATTTCGCCGTAACCTGCGCAAAACTTACGAAAATTTCGTTTCGTGAATACGAATTTGTTCTTAAGTTTTGTCTAACGCACATTTTTGGCGTAAGATCGTTTCGTGAATCTGGCCTCTTCACTTCCGAAAGTCGCAGGAAACGTAACACAGGCGCAGACGACGTTGCGAGCAGACGACGTTGCAAAGAAGCAGACGACGCTCAGATAGGGGGGCTCGATCAGCCAATCAGGGCTCGGCGTTCTGACGTCACCGCTACCCCCTGCGCAAGGAGCAGACGAACTTGCCCTCCGCATAAATACGCGAAAACTCGCAGCAACCGAAGAACTACGCAGCAAACACGTACGTGCACACGCACCAGAAGCACGTGCGTCACGCTGCGTATCTACGCAGAACTGGCGATTTTGGCATTTCGGTAATTTGAAACTTCGATATCGATTCCGTGAACAATTTATTCAGCAAACTGAACCGGTGGAGCCTCGCATAAAAAAAAAATCGTTTAACAATATGAAAGCGACTGAAATTCTTCCTAAAAGCTATATTAGCAGGAAGTACCGTGTTATAAAGGACCTCACGAGTTTCGACCAAGTTTTCCAGCACGTTATTTTGCAAGAAACGGAAGAAGCCAAGTGTACAACCAGTTTCCGAAGCTGGCAACCACAGCTGGAATCAGCGCCATCCTCGGCAGTTTTCTGAACCTCGCGTAGTCACATTTCAGCCACCGCCACATAGAGGGCGCAACCAGACATCCAATTTGTGTTTTCTGTGTGTTTTATGATTCTTTTTAATAAATAGGCTCGATTAGTGAAAATGTGGGCTAATAATGAGGACCTGGAACAGTAATCTCAATTTAATACTAAAAATATCGGCCTAAATGTCTGCCAAAAGGGGTCAAAATACTCGTTTTTGACTATCAACAAATACGTGATTTCACCTATATTCAAACTTTTTTTATGGAAAATCAAAAGTGAAATTTAGAAAAAGGGCCTCGCTTTGCAAAGCAGAATATGTTTTTCTTTGCGGGCCTACAATTTTATTCATGTGTGCCAATCCCTAAGCGCTGTACCACTGTACTACCAAATGAAGTTTGCCAAAATTAACGGTTTTTGTCACTTTTCACGTGAGCATTCCGAAAAAAGTTTAAGCCATATTACAATGAAATTTAGCGTAACTCTTTCGACCATAATTACAAACTGATGTAAAAAGTTTCAAATAAAATGACCGAGTAGGCGCCCAAAACTTCGCGACTGAAGTGCTTCCGCAAAGTCAATTTTTCTAAAGTAAATATCTGTCAAAATAAAATAAAAAACGAAAAAAGGGCCTCCGTTGACAATGAACGCACTCTTCTTCTATAACATTCTAAAATTAGAAAGAAATTGCTCCAATAGTGCACCCTGTACCACTGTACTACGAAACCATGTTTTGCCGAAAAGGTCAATGTTCGCGGGTGCCCTCTGAATTAGCTTTTTGCACTAGGAAAACAAATCCTACATCAGATAAAAGATAATGTTGTACACTACAAGATGATATATAACACATAATTTTAGCAAGCTTGAACACGCCACGATCGCATTTCGAAAACGTGCTGAAAGCGTCATATGTCATGGCCGCCGTGGGACCGTAAGGCCACAGAAAGAGATCGGTGGCTAGACGGAATGCAGAAAGAGACGGCTCAAAACGGTTATTGCCAAAGAAAGCATTTATGACAATTCTAGGGGGAGCTCATTGTTGTTTGAGGCAAGGACGGGTGTTCTGCGAACCAGAACATACAGAGCGAGGTACCAGGAAATGGATAGTGTGCACTGCTTGTGGAGAGGAGGACGAGACGGCTGAGCACTTGATAACCTACTGTAAAGGGCTTCACCCTATGCCTACCGAAGACAACATGGATTTAATAAAGTCATTGGGTTTTAGAGACAGTGAAGGGAGAGTGGATTTCAAGACTGTAGAGATTACCAAGCAAAGATTAAGTGAATGGTGGCAGAAAGCGAGGGAAAACTAGGTATTTTCTCATTACCTGATGGCAAGGGGGTTTTATAGCCCCACTTTCTTTGCAGTGCGGAGTGAATATAGATTTGACATTTAAATATTCTAAGCTTAAATGGTAAAACAAAATTGCTAGGTGGCATAAGCTACCATCCGATCCAAAGGGCTCAGCCGCATTCATCCATCCATCCATCCGGCGGCGGCCAGACAGCTATTTTTGCAAAGGTCTCAACGGCGCTTAATACTTTCGCCTTTCTACACGCAAGCAGTTTTAAGTATAATTTCTCTCTCTCTCTCTCTCACACACACACACACAAAAAAGCGCAACATGCCATTTTACAGCATTTGCCAAGAATGCGATTGACGCTCCATAGTCATGGTGAGGCGGCCTCGTTTAGCCGGTGCCGAAAAAACGCAGCCTCGTTTAGCCTCCTCTCTTCTTTCACTGTGACCTCGAACAATCAACACCTGTGAACAGCGTCCTTTACTTATGTAAAGTTATTACATTTGGATGGCGCCAACTGGGCCAGAGCTTGACTCCAAGCACACTTTGACGCTCAGTGGACCGAGGTCCAACTGAACGCCGACGCCACGCTCAGTATGTGCCTATGCTCGACCTCACTGCGATGACGTCTAAATACTGGTGCACGGGCTTTGATTAGTCTAGGTGGTTATATATAAGCTCAGCACCTGGTGCCTCCGTTTTGGGGCTAGAGTTTGGTTTTCGATCGAGACAACGTGAACAAAAGTGGAGCTGCCATGCTAATGCTAACTGAAGTAACTGGATCCTGGAAAAGTAGTGCCAAGCTTCCCATATGGTCACCTGGTTCATGGAATCAGCAATTTCTTCAACAAGTGTAAATCTTCGTACTGCCACCGCATGCCGCGTCGTTGCCTGGAGGCATTGAAAAATAACTTTACCGTTTCGAAATACCCAAGAGCAATGCCATCGTAACAGATCTGAGGAGATAAGCATGATCTACTATGGAAATTGCATACGCAGTCCCAAAGACGCTTATAATGCTGGCGAGGAACGGTTTCAGTATGATGATGCTCCAGAGCGATCTTGGCGAGACTTGTTCAGGACAACCCTTTCGAAGATTTGAACGGGCCAAATGAACTTCAAATGCTAGCTACATCTTGCATAAATGAGCTTCACTTTATCAACTAGTCTTCCAGAATTCGAGAAAACTGATTCACTTACCAGACAAGGCACAGACCACGGCTCAGACCTTGTACGAAGCCCCATATTCGACTTTGTAAAGGCTGGTTCATGCACTTGCAACCTCTTGTAATATCTTGCAGAAGAACACACTGGCACCATCAAATACATGACCCTGGAACTGCATTTCACTAGACTCCAGAGCAAAGGTTTTTCGGTATTGGGTTGTTTATAACAGTCAAAAGCTTTCCAAGACAATAGTAAAATAATGTGTAAAAAAATAGGAAATATATAAAAATCTGTAAGTGTTCGACAGATGGTACCAGTGTTCTCTCGGCGTAGGATCACAAGGGGTCATTCCTAATGCACTTGATCGTAAAAAATCTCAAGTTTGTGAATGAGCTATCAGTCAGTGCAAAGAGAAAAGAAAACAGCTCATGAGGCAAAGAAAAGGAAACAACAGCCATTTTTATTTTATCCAGTATCAAAAATAATCAAGTGAAGCAGCGTGTCTCCAAAAAAAAAAAAAATACTACAAACTTTAAAAAAAATTATAGATCTGCATAGAACAACAAACGGCAGGCAGGCTTCAAAAAGAGTGAAGCCCCGTACGTCGGATAAAGCCTGACTAGAGTGTGACCGTTTTGGAAGTTAAGTCTGGAATGGAACGGAATGAGGGGGAGAAAGGCACTCGGCTGGAAGGCTTTGTCCATCCAATCGGGGCAGAGGATGGCTTCCCCCGTGGAAGCAGGGAGTTGGCGAGGCAAGGCGGTGATCGGCCGGCAGCAAACGACCGGCTGCTTCAGACCTTGTTCAGCACCTTCTTGGCTGCCCGTATCAGGGGCACAATGGTGGTGAGCGAGGCGGCCTTCTTTAGGAACGGGTGCGCCAACAACTCCTGCGCCGTGGCACGCTCCTCCACGTCCACCTCGAGGCATCGGTCCAGGAAGCTCAGCAGTTCGGGAGAGCGCTTTTCCGCGTCGCGAATCTTGGGCTTGCCGTGGGTGGCGATGAGGTAGAGCGCACGCAGTGGGGTCTCGTTGAGGTAAGGCGGCTCGCCGTCCATCATCTCGATGACCATGATGCCTAGGGACCAAACGTCCACCTTGGGGCCATACTGCTTGCGTGTCACCACTTCGGGCGCCATCCAGTATGGGGTGCCGACCATAGTGTGCCGCTTCTCGTCGGGTCGGATCTGGGCGCAGAAGCCAAAGTCGGTCACCTTGACGGCGCCGTCCATGCCCAGCAGCACATTGTCAGACTTGATGTCCCTGCAAGCGAGGCGCGAGCGGTGAGTCACAAGTATGGTGCGACTATGGTCACTGAAAGCGACTGCATTTCGTATGTCTACTAAGAAGCAGAAAGAGCTCACTGATTGGCTGCTTGCGGCCAAACTGAGGCCAACGTTTCAAAAGGCATAGAACACCATCAGACCTGTCAAATAATGCAGATTTAAGGTCAGTTCATACATGCAGTGCAGCGTCAAGTCAGAGTTGCATCAGCACTAGTATCACTGCTGTGTTTGTAAACAGGAAGCAAAACAGCACTGATATGTAAAATCAGCACTGCATGGATGGCACTGAGTTAGTGCTGTACTGTATGTGTGAACAAGCCTTTACTTCCCACATCTTGAAGCATTATTTTATGTCATTGAAAACTATCTGCTTTCAGTGTCAGTTCTATTTGCAGTGTTGCATATCTCTATGGGATCTTAAATTGGTTTGCTTGTAGATTTCCCAGCATACACACTTTTTTGAGACGAGTTGTAATGGTACTAGTATATTGAGAAAATGTACACCATCTGCCGTTTTTTCTCTCTCATACAGTTAAGATGTAACAACACCTTGCTTCTTCTATCTACCGTATGGTGCATAAAATTTGCAGCCTCACACACTCATGTTGCATGTATCGAGTTCAACTACCTCTATCGTCTATATATATATTAATGCAGAATGCGTTTTAGGGCTGGTTGCCAAGTCTAGAGTGCCACAAAAAGTTATGAAAACACCTTAACACGTTTTTATTCGTCAGTGCTAAGTGATGCAACGTGATCTAAATATAGCCAGACATTTTTGCAACTTCAGCAGGAAAACTAAACTGAGGTATTCCGTGCCTGTCTTCACATCTGCAAGTTCGGGCCAGGTGACATCACTTCACACTGATGGTGAATAATATTGCGAGGTCAAGCTATCACGAGATGTCATGGTTTCACATGACAGTGATGTCACAGGACATCATGAAGTGCATGGTGGTGTTATGCGACATGACATCACGTTGTGTGGTCGTAGCGGCACCAACCTCAAAAACCAAACGGGTCAAAACCCACTGACACAAACTAACAAAATATTCTGAATCAACCAGCTTTATGCAAAATAAGGCTTCAGAGGCGATTGTTACGTCTTGTAGAGTAATTTTTTTTTTATATGCCCCACATTTTCAGAAAAGTATTTGAAATTTGTTTGCACCAAAGTTTACATATTAATATTATTGGCTTATTTCTAAAGTACAGAGTTTGCTAAGTTATCAGGCTATGCTGTTGCTAGCTATGTACTAGGCACATAGTACAAGAATGAACTACTAAATTTTTCCATTTACCTGCACAAAAAGCATGTACCAATAAATGCACAATTTCATGCTGAACCAACTTTACAGGAACAAAGAGAAGGATGATTGAATGCAATGCTATGCTGCATTTATCAGCAGGGAACCAAATAAAAAATGTTTCGGTTACCGTTTCCTGTTGATATCGGTTTCGTTTTGGTTTTTTTACGGTTTTAATATTTGCGGTTTCAGTTACTGCTTCCTAAAAACCGTTTCCTTTTTCGGTTCCTCCCATAATTTGTTTTATTAAAATCCTAGACAGCCCTTTTATAATAAAGGGTTTAAAGTAGTCCCAGATATCCAACAACGGGTCATTCACAATAAAAAGAACTCAAAAACGTCTTAGTACTTCTAATTGGCCAAAAATTACATATGTTTCTAGCTCTTACATTTCTTCATTACATCTATTTGCATTATGTAGTTGATACCCAAGCATACATGTTACCCTCGCTACTCGGGGATGATCATAATCTATATAATATAAATAAAAATAAACATTGCTACTTTGTTGTTCGGCTGCATTTGTAAACAACCCTCAGGAAGTTCCCACCAGGTGCTGGAAGAATCATTTGCACCTTTTAGTCGCTAGTTTGTTGCAACCTTAAGATGTTCAAAAGTGGTTTCACACATACTGAAGAAAGGAGCAGAACTATAGACCATTCCATTTAGCGCTCTCAGGGCGGCGCCATTTCGTTAGACCGCAGCGCCCTCTCCACACATCTGTGAAGTTCAGCAAGTTCGGGGGGGTAAAACGAGAGAGAGGGCACGCGCCCGACTCTGCTAGCAGACAGCAAACTGGGAGGTCGCCGTTCTCTATCTTCGGACAGTATCGGCGGTGGCTGTAGTGAACATTGAACTCTTGCTCGTGGCTGTCGTTATGAAGTGGTTCGCATTCTTAGAATATTTATGGCTACTCCGAAATCAGCTTTTAGCACTCTGTTGTTTTATTTCAGTCAATGATCAACTAGCGTATTTTTGTTCAGTTACTTCAAAAGCAGTGGAGTCAGACGGCAACTCAACCACTGTGTTTACTGCGCCAGGAGAGCACTTTTTGTTTTTTATTCCAGACTTCCACCCATTGCCGCTAAAAGCCTACACCAGTATGAACTATGTACAGTAAGAAAACGCCACAGCAACCGGATTAATTTTTCGCCGGAGCGACCAACCACTCTGACAGTTTTTCCTTTTTTTTTTTTTTATTATTTGCATGCAGGTAATATTGTCACTTGACTTGGATAGTCTTTTTATCGAGCATAGCATTACACAATAACTTGCTTGCATATCAAAATTCGCGCATCTGCGCTTAAATTTTTCAAAATGACTCTATTTTAAACCGAGCTTGAACGCCAGCCGGATGTTAGGTACAGCCCACTCGGTGGAGCAGACGACGTGCAAGGTGAGAGGGCATTTTTTCCCTCTCTGCTCTTCTTAGTGGAACGGTCTATAGCCCTCCTCTAGTTAACTTAGTAAAATATAGCACTACACTTAGTAAAATACTGCTAAGTGGAATAAAGTAATAAAATTTAGAGCTCGCCAGTCAGTGAAAGTTAAGCGTAATGTAAATGCAATAGGGCAAAACAAGGAATACTAAGGAGAGGGATGAACAACACAAAAAGCTGTAAAATATATTCTGCATACCTGCCAACCTGTGGACTTTCAAATTCGTAAAAGTCCCGCAGCCGCGGCGGGGGGGAATAAGCGAAGCGATATGCAGTTTAATGTCAGCTCGGCCAGCGTGCGAAACGCTTACATCACACGTGCACGTGCTACAGAATCCAAACTTCTCTCATTTTTTGGGCGGCACGAAGCACGGAAATTTCTACGTGTAGGACTTCAGGAACACCTGAAAGTATCTCTTACGAGGTTTGGAGTTCGGCATTGCACCGCGAAGCCACAGTGACCAGGAGAATGCTACAGTTGCACGTGCAACAAACACTGACGCCGTACTTCTTGCCTCGAAACTGGCCGAAGCAACGAGGCCTAACAACGTCTGAACATGCCGAACCAACGTGCACCCGTGCACCGCCGGACACACTAACAAAGGCTTTGAGCTTTGGATTGGTTTTCGATCCGTGGCCACCGGATAGACAGATAGTAAAAACCATGACGCTGCTGTGGACGGTACCTATCGTCCTCTTGTGGCGGTGCAAGATACCGCCAACAACGGAGTTACGAAAATAAGAAATAAAAAAAAAAAAAAAAAATAAATAAAAAAATAAAAAAAAAATTCAAAAATATATTTTTCGTAAGATTGGAAACAAGATTCGTAAAATCAAAAAATTAGTCCCAATTCATACATTTTACGAAAAATTCGGCAGAGTTGGCAGGTATGGTTCTGTGTTGTTTCAGGGTGTCTAATTTTAAAATTTCCAGACTTTTCCAGGCTTTTCCTGACCATTTCAGTCAAATTCCCTGACCACTGTAGAGGCAGTTGAATATACAAGATTATTATAACACAAGGCATTGAGCATTGAGGATAATTTTGCATGGGCTTAATCCAACTTGCATATTCCGAAATATTCAGGCTCGTCCAGTCTGATTCAATTAATACTTTCTTGCCGCCGAAATCGTCAGTGAAGAGGCCACTTCCGGAAACACAATGAAAACACAACGTTCAACCACACACGTCAATAACCGAATGGCAGCATGGCCGCCAGATGCACACTTTCAGATCTTCGGATACTTTCGGCTTGGATTGGATTGGTGTCTGCGGCTTTTTTATTTGTTACTAAATCTAGTAGCCAACGTTACTAGAACATCTCAGTTGGGAAACTGCCATAGAGCCCACTCTGAAAAAGTGGCACCGATCTGTCCACCAGAACCGAGCTAACAGCGATTGCAACGCTGCCATTTCTCCCGCAGCGACCACTCAAGGAACTGCACAGTTGTATCGGTTAGGAACTATTGCATTCGATAGCGTCTGCTGTGACGGCTCTATTTTGGCATTAATCGGCCATTTTGGCGCCAAAACAGATACGGTGGAAGGGATTTTAGGGATACCAACTCCAGTCTCCCAAGCAGACGTGCCACGAATTACTTCCTAAATTAGGACTTGCCCAAGTCGGGATGCGCTACCTGATATCACCGGTGAGACATGGTTGTATAAAAACAGTATTAATTGTGCCGCAAAACCTTGTAAACTAAAGATTTTAGAAAACATTGTGTGCCAGTTATTTCAAACAAATCTCTAATAAAAGTTCCTACAAGGAGAGTTCTCACACAAAAACAGGCTTTCTGAATGCTCAAGGTGACCACAGTAAAGAAACAAGATTAAGGGTGGCACTGTTATTGTACTTAACTCTGTCTCGGTGGATGCTAGCGGCACAGGTTTCAACGGTGAGTTTCCCAGCTGAGTGTTCTAGTAACGTTGCTAGTAGCCCTAACTGGATCTAGCCTAGTGCAGTGATGTGATTGGCCTAAGCCATTTTGGAGCACCTATTGGAGCAGCCAAAACAGTGTTTTGGAGCAGCAAATGTAGCGTTTGGAGCAGTCAAGACAGTGTTTCAAAGCAGTAAAAGTGGCTTTTGGAGCAGCCAAGACAGTGTTTCGGAGCAGCAAAAGTGGCTTTTGGGGCAGAAATTCTTAGAAAAATAAAAATATCTGTTTCAAGTATTGTACAAATGAAGGGCACTTTGTGTTCCGACTTCTGCAGTGTTCTAATGTGACGTGT